TTTTTTTTTTTTTTTTTTTTTTTTTTTTTTTTTGAAACCGTTTTGCCGTCTACAAAATTTCTGTGTCATCATTATTTAATTTGATAGTGGGTTTTGTCATGTTGGTGATATGTATATATAAATATATGTATATATATATATATGAAGTTCTGTGCCTGTGGCTGTGATCGGATGTTGGGTTTTGTAATGATGGTAATGGGTAAGGTGAGGTAAAGTAAGGTTAGGGATTGGAAGAGAAGCTGCAAGGGATGAGGAGGTAAATTTGGCATTTCAAATTTTTCTTTTTTTGAAGTCATCATTTTCTGATTGGTTAACGGATGGTTTACTAATAAATGGACTTGACTGTCATACATATTTTAAAAGGGAGGGAGGACAGTGAGATTTTCGTGATAAAGGGGTGTCAGTGTGATTTTAGAGAAATAGAAGGGGCATCAGTATAATTTACCCTTGACCCAATGGTAGCCCTTTCCTTTCTAGTTTTGACACCTTGGTAGGTATTTTAATCTGGGCAGCCTATAAGTCGTTCCCTCCGCGGCTCAAACCGCAATGTTGCACCCATCTGGTCCCATACTCACATAGGTGTATCATATTCCATAGTCAACATGATGGCCGACTTTGATATCAAATGACACAAACTCCTAAGTAGGGTGCGTGCTCAGAAGACTGATGTAACTAATTTCATGTTTTAACAGTGCTCATCTAAGGCCAAGTTTGGGAAGACTAAACAAGTCCACACTTTGTCTTTTTATCTTTTTTGGGTCACATCAATCAACATCTCTTCTATACTTTTCTACACATCTTTTTATAAAAAGTCAAAAAGTGCACTTATTTAGAATATCCCAAATAATCCCTTATGTTTTTAAATTTGGACTATGACTTTACACATATTATTTGAATTTCTATGTCTAAATCCATTTCAAGCTCCTAATTAAGGACTTCTCCAAGAATGGATATGAGTTTGATTGACGCTGCACAAACAGGTAATGTTGAGTCCTTGCTTGAGTTGATTGAAGAAGATCCCCTTATGCTACATTCTGTTGCATTAGCAGGGGCAGAGTTACATATCGCTTACCTCGCATTCAAGAACAAACAGTTTGAAGTCTTGACAATCTTAATGGAACATCTCAAGGACTTAGAGAAAGAGAGTGTCCTAAATAACAAAGGATGAACATGGCAACACCATCTTGCACCTTGCTGTCTGTAGAAAACAGTACGAGGCAAGTATTCCCTTGTTTTTCATTGTGTTCTTTTTTTCTTTTTTTTCTTTTTTTTTTTTAACTAAAGGGAAATTATGGTTTATGATTGAGCAGGTTGCAAGCATATTGCTTGGTGGACATATCATTAGTGAGGCCATAGTGGAAGTGAATTGCTTGAACAACAGTGGCATCACAGTTCTTGATGTTCTACTGCTATTCCGAAGTGAGGCAAGTGACAGATTGAAATAATTGAAATAATTATTTAGCCAAAATCATCAGGATAATGAAATTGAAATAATTAATTCCTCAAATAAACTAGTCAGTGCTAGTGCCAGTGTCACAGCCAGCGCAGGCTATATTGCCGTCTGAACAGTTGCTAAAGAATTTCAAGTACAACAAGGGCAGAGATTCGCCTAGCGAAGTACGAGAACCCTCCTTGTGATAGCTGCTCTTATTTGTTAGAAATGGCTGGGAAAAATTCTGGAAAACAGAATTTTTTCTTAAATTTGGTCAATTATTTAGGTGGGACCTGTACGCCAAAGTTGGCGGGTCTAAGTGGTAACGCGTTTTATGCCGCGTTGTGAATCACATGGTATATTTGGTTGCTCAAAACCATTATCGAGTAAATGGAAAATTGAAGTCAAAGTGAGCTCCATGAAAATGGAGTTTTTGTGGAAATTCTTTAAAATTGGAAAATAGCTTGTTTCACATTGATTTAGTGAGAAATTTTGAATAGGTTATAAGGCATGGGATTGGAACTTGGGGTGTGCCCGAAGGGATACCCAAGTTTTGTAGAGGGGGAGGTTATGGGCAAAATGGGCTAGACCCATTAAACTTAAAAATTACCACACGCGCGCCGCCGCTGTGGGTTGGGCGCAGGTGCGTGGTTGGGTTGGGTCAAAAACATTTGAGTTTATTTTATTTATTTTGAAATAAATTATGTCCGTTTTTATTTCAAAATTCTGGTTGGAAATTAAATTCAAATTTTATTTGCACCTCTTCAGGAATTTTTGTACAGTTTCGAGTCTCTCCAGAACCGAATTAGTTTTGTTCAAATTCAAATCCGCCCGAAATTCAAACCAAACAGTGCCTACAGATTTTGTATCTGTTTAATTTGAATTGAACAAGTACTGTACCTGTTTAATTCAAAACTAGCAGTCACCAAGCCACCATTTCATCTATATAAATAGACTAGTCCCTCATTTAGATTTCCAGTCCAATTTTCGTCCATCCTTGCTGCAAATCATCTCTGCATTTTGCTACATTTATTCCATTATTTTTCTGTGAGAAAGAAGAAAAGAGTGTATACACTAAGTGTGTTCGTAGAACAAATAAATTGTAGTGTTGCATTTATTTGTTGATTGATCATTTTATCCTGGGAGATAGACGTCCACATTCTGAAAGCACCGTAGAGAAGACGAATATGTCTTAAGAACACAGTGTCGAACACTAGACTTGATCAGATTATTATTCGAAGAAATTATCAAGTAAGTTAATTCTTTTTCTGTTTTGATTTTATTTAAATCAAATTTTAATTTTATTTTTGTAACAAAATAAAATCTGTTATTATTTATTTATTTGTATTTATAAGTTTGATTTTTGTAATTGTACGGGGAGCAAATATTCCGGCAAGCCCGTACTCCTTTCTTCCAAGCTCCGTTTATGTCCGATCACCTGCGAGCGAATAACGGTGAGCTGCCCGGCGGTGTGTGGCCGGAAAAACCCTCCGACGATCAAGTTAGCACACACCTTAGGATAGAGAGAGAGAGAGAGGAATGTTAGAGTGTAGGAGTTTTCTTACAAAGTGTTCGTCTCTCCAGTATGGGGGGCGCAGACATGCTTATATACCCTCTGCGCCTCATATCCACCCCCAGTCATCTCCCGACACGTGGCTCTGTTATCCCATCTGTCAGCATAAACCTTGCTGAACATCACCTAATCCCAACTGCCTGCCCTCTCAGTTGGAGCTCGGCAGCCGAGCTTCTCTATCCACGGTCGTGCTATGCTTCATACCCAAGCACTTCACTGGCTAAGCCCAGGGAGGACCGGGCTAGGCGGCATCTCGGCAAAGCCGAGCCCGGGGCACCTCCTATGGTCAGCCTTCCTGCCGATCAAACGGTTACCTCGGCTGACCACGCCTTTCCGGGCGCCAGTCACTCAGTTTGTCTAGCTTCCACCATCCCCTGATCAAGCAGCTTGGTCCAACCGAGCACTGCCTTGCCGAGCAGCTTCTTTACGATCTAGGGCGGCACACACTTGGCCCAATTTCTGCCCGGCCCAAGTTCTGGCAGCCCATCTCCGGGCGGATAGTCGATCATCTCGGCCCCATGCACCATTGGGCTCTCAACCTGCTCGGCCGTTACCTCAGCCCAATTCCAAATCATAAATCCCCCTCTCAGTAATCAAACATTTTCTCTATTTTCCTTTATTTCTTTTATATTCTAGTTGTTGTTAAGTACATAACAAAATTAATTAATTTAATTACAGTGAAGATTGTTCCCACATTATTGCCACAACAACTTATTAAGCTGCACTTAGTCCTCAGGCAGTGTGTGGCAGGACGACTCTGGCCAGTTCAGTAACAAAGACGACACTTCTTCTACCAAACCACATATTGCCGGAGAGTCAGTTTTGTCTTCAAAGTATGTTGCTGCCTATGCTTTATTCTATGTTTTTAACTCAACCGAATTCTTAACCTAATCCTTACCCTCATAAATGGATTCCCTTTGCAAGCTGATCTGCGGCTCGCAATGTTCTCACTTATTGCAACATATGGCAGGTGTATTATATTTCCACTGCACCCCATCTTAACCTCGGCTGGTTCCTTGCAATTATTTGCTTGATACCATCACTGGTACACTCTGGAGTTACAATGGCAAGGAGTTGTCTCAGGAGGAGGCAAAGAGATCCGAGACAGTTTCCAAACCTACAGTGTGCTTGAAGTAGACAAGGATGGATCTAGGGACGTGCGGGTGGGGCTACCGCACCTACAAAAATTTTAAAAATATCATATATTACACTAGAAAATTTAAAATAATTAAAAATTATAAAGATTTACACCCTAAACATATGTTCGCACCCCTATAATGATAATCATGAATCCGTCCCTGAAAGAAGATACATATAATGCTTCTTTTAAGGAGCAACTATAGTCAAACTATATATATATGAGCAAGTGTAGGATGACTCTGGTTTGTCTAGTGACAATAAGGACACCACTTTCACCATACTACATATGGCTGGAAACGCAATCATGCGTTCAAAGATTCCTCGAGAGCCTATGTTGCATTCCTCTTCTTCAACTCATTAGGATTTTTTTTACCTCTCTTAATTACTATGATCTTTGTCCTCACAAGTGGATTCCCTATGTAATTGGCGTTGAAGCTTTCATTTGTCGCACTCTCAGCAACATATGCGACAATTGTATTGTTGTACCCAATTATGTATCATTGAATTTCCCATATGAATATTAGAAAATTGAGTGCATATGCAAATTATGCTTAAGTGAGAATGGACACAGTTTTTTTTTCTGAGTAGTGAACAACAGTCTTTTATATATATATATATATATAGCGGTTGACATACGCGATGTATGTGTAATTCAAATAAGTAAAAATAAAATAATAAAAAAATTGTAATCAAAGTTTTGTAAAAAAAAATTTGTCTTGTATTACCATAACCAAATTGTAATCAAAGTTTTTTTTTTTGTTTTTTTTTAATAAAAAAAAAAATCCTTATGAAAGGCAGGGAGGAGTTCAGGGCTGGAACTTGCAGGCCTAACCCACTTTAGGCCCAAACTTTTCTGAATTGGGGTGTGGGCCAATACATCGTTTTAAACCAACAAACAGCTTGCATTTCGAGAATCAAGACTGGCCCTGTTGTTGGGCTTCCTTAGGCCCAAGTATACAGTGGGATTTCATATGGTGTTCACGGATCAAATTGATCCGATTTCAGGATAAATTAAAGACTTCTCAAAAAATTAGAAATATAATCAAATCATAAAAATCGGTTTAATTTGATTCAATGCTACAGTTACTAAAACATTATATAACTAAATATATGGTATATAATTTATTACACAAAACAAATTAATAACAAACAGTATAGTTGATTTGGTTAAAATTTCCTCAATTTCATGGTCAAGGTAAGTGTTCAAATCATACCACTCACTTTACACTTATGTTTTCACATACAAAAATATCAAATCTTAAAACCGCCAATCGATCTGATTTGAATGGTTCCATCATTCTTAAAATTAAAATCAAAACTAATAAAATGGGTACCAAATTCATAGTTCTACTGATATTTTTGAACATCGTAAAAATTTCATGTCCCCATCTCTCTCTTTATTAGCATGGAATCGTTTATTTTCAAAATTGTATATCGCTTTGTCTCACACACAGTTACAATAACATGATTTGATATGTGATTAGCTTTTAATTTAAAAATAAACAAATAAATCACTTTATTGTAAAGGATGAGAAAAAAATATTTTATGTAATATGTACATCACTTAATCGAATTGACGTGGGCATCAGTGTACTCATTATTTGTTATATGAGAAATGTGAGTCTCAAAAAGTCATTTGAATTTGTCCAAAATGTTAAGTTTTCAGTGACATCAAATTCTAATTTTATTTTTTACCACATAACAAATAATAAGTAAAAAAATATCAGCAATAATACAAAACTAAAAAAAATTGTGTGGGTGATTTTCTGATCACACTACCAAACAGGCTCCGTTTGTTTTGTGGTGTAATGGATGGGAGGGGATTAGGATGGAGGTGGTGTTATTTAGTGTTGTGTTTGTTTGTAGAGTTAGGGAAGAGATTAGGATGGAAGAGGGGATATAGATGGAGGTTGGAGAGGGGATTGGGATGGAGGAGGTGGAGGTGATATTAGAAAAATAGTGAGGGGATTAGAAATTTTTTTATTTTTTTATATTTTTTATATATTGGGAATTTTTTTAAAATATTAATGTTTAATTTTTTATGTTTTTTTATTTGTTTTATTATTTTATATAAAAATAATTTAATAATTCCTACACTAACAACTATCATCAAAACAAACACAATTTTACTTAATCCCCTCACTATCAATCCATTCACTGACAATCCCCTCACTATTAATCCTTTCACTATAAATCATCTCTATTTTACCTCTGAAAACAAACGGAGCCTTTGTGAGTATAGCTCATATTCCACTAATTTTAAATCTATACTATATCACACATACACTTCAAAATAAAATTCAAAATAAATCGTCATAGTCGTAACATTTTTCAAAAAATAAACCACATTAATTCAACCACACATTACATAAAATAACTTCTAATTTTGAGTGACTTTTGGGATTCAATAACTTTTTCAATTGATTATCATACAACAACAAGACCATCTATCTCTCTGCCCATAGATCTGTCTCTCCCATCCAAGTTGGCACATGGCAAACTTAAGTAGTGAATGAATGCACATGTTGTATGTCTCCCCCCAGAGAATCAAATACAACTGTCAAATAAGCACAGCTTGTCATCACTATCAAAAACAACCATAACACAGTACACCAAAACAGTATTTATCACTTGGTTACTTCTACTTATACCTTTGTTCTATCACCCACCCTTTATGTCCACCAAAAGCTCTCACTCACCACTCATGTCCCTTTCCAGATTGGGTCTCACAGACTGTGAGTCACAGTCTCTCACATTGCATGTGAAACTTTTAGTACCACTCCCTGAGTTCTTCAACCTCTAAGGATGTGGAATCTTTGATTGCTTAGATAAGAACATGCAAGTATCTATCTACTAGATGCATATAATAATATTCAATACTCTTTATTTAAAATTGATATAAAGAATTTTTCTTTTTTTTTTCTTTTTTTTTTTTGGCCGGATTGTAAAGAAGAGATACCTATCTGTATAATATATACTAAATGGCCACTTATTTGCCACCCCCATGGTGGTGGCTTGGTGGTGGGGTAGGGTTTAATTGGGCCATGATGACATTGACATGGAATGAGTTTCTAGGACAACATTTGAGAGCCAGACTTACCTATCAATTATGAGTTACTGATTTTTGTCACTATTCTCAATAAGACTGAGGTTAAGTTATGGTTCAAGTCTATTTTAGGAGTTTTAGGAGAACGCATACGGGGATTCCCTATGTTGCAATCATCCAATCCTTTCATGTCCAACTCCCCTATGAGTAAGGGTTCTTCTGGTCCTGCCTAGAAAGGGTTACCACACTTTGTTCACCTCCTCCTACACTTTTTTATCCAAAAAAACAAACAAGGACCACTGATTCGGTCCTAATTGCACTCCCAAATGCATTTGGTGAGACATAATTGTAAGATTGAGAGTGCAAATAGGAAAGAATTTTGGGATAGAGAACCTCATCCATATACTAACTTGATTTCAAGGCCAAAACACCGCTCTCAAAAGCAGAAAAAAAAAAAAAAAAAAAAAAAAGGTACTCAAAAATTAGAATTGTAAGAAAGAAGCATGGGTTTAAGTACAAGGTTGAGCTTAATTAATTTGTCAACCCAAAACGAGAGAGAGAGAGAGAGAGAGAGAGACTATCTCCATTGCTAACTACATTAAGAGCATCATTACAACTTAAACAGCTAGTTGCTGTTGATGTTGATGAGAGGCTTCATCTTCATTGTAACCCAATAGGAGCTTTTGTGACTTTCCAACTAAATTAATATTTAAGGATGTTTCTGGTAAATCTAGAGGTGGCTGCACCAACATCTCTCTTTGCAGATAGGCACAGTAGCTGTGAAAAGTGGTTGGGGTCACATTCAAGTGGAACCCTAATCCAAATAGGAAATCCACTTCAAGAAAGTTCATCTCTGCTGTGCTGATTCCTCCAACTTTTGCATAGTATGCATTATTGTAGTATCTGCAAATTTACAAACCACAGAAAGCATAAGAACACAGAAATCCATCACAAAATTGGATATAAATTGCATATGGATGAATAAGATTTTTTAAACTTGGGTTACCAACATATTTTATAAAATGTTGTCTGTTCATATGTATTTGATATTTTATTCTGTGTTTGTAAAAGAACTCGAGTTCTTTTGCAATTTACCAGACTAAATATGTCGAAGTACATAGAATTAAAACATGTTAAAGTGTCAAGATTGTACAAGTCAGCAAATTAGGGTCCCCTATTAATGAAAATAATGAGAATATCAGCCAATGAGAATACTTTAAGTGGACCTCATTGTGTTGATAGATATTTTTAATATTTCTAATGATTTAATTTTGTGTTTGTAGACTTACATACACTTTTGAAATCATTATGTGTTTTTAGAAGTGGGTTACCAACAAATTTTATAAAATATTGTCTATTCATATATATTTTGTATTTCATTTTGTGTTTGTAACAAAACTCAAGTTCTTTTGCAATATACAAAACTATAAGTTTAAGTACATAGAATTAAAACACGTAAAATACTAAGACTATTCCAGTCAGTAAATTGGGGTCCACTATTATTGAAAATAATGAGCATATCAACCAATCAGAATCACTTTGCTTGGTTCCTATTTTTTAAAAACAGTTTTCAGAAAATTCTACACTCTTATTTTCCGTGTTTTTTTGTTTTTACTGAATTTTTTAAATATTTTATGTAATTTTTTTACTTTTTAGACACACCTAACATAAATACACCTAAAAAGTAAAAAAATTGTAAAAAAAATCTTTAAAAAATTCACTAAATACCAAAAATACAAAAAATATACAAGAATTTAGTATATTTTTTGTATTTTTATGTATTTCTTAATTTTTTAAAATATTTTTTCACAATTTTTTTACTTTTTAGACACATCTAAGTAAGGTGCATCTAAAAAAGTAAAAAAAATGTTTAAAATTTTAAAAATATTCACTAAAAACAAAAAAAAACACGAAAATCAAAAAACTCAATTTTTAAAAAACTTAATCCAGAAAACTCAAACCAAACACCGTGAATATTTTTGTGGACCTGATCGTGCTTATGACAAACCACAGAAAGCATAAGAACACAGAAATCCATCACAAAATTGGATATAAATTGCATATGGATGAATAAGATTTTTTAAACTTGGGTTACCAACATATTTTATAAAATATTGTCTATTCATATGTATTTGATATTTCATTCTGTGTTTGTAAAAGAACTCGAGTTCTTTTGCAATTTACCAGACTAAATAAGTCGAAGTACATAGAATTAAAACATGTTAAAGTGTCAAGATTGTACAAGTCAGCAAATTAGGGCCCCTATTAATGAAAATAATGAGAATATCAGCCAATGAGAATACTTTAAGTGGACCTCATTGTGTTGATAGATATTTTTAATATTTCTAATGATTTAATTATGTGTTTGTGGACTTACATACACTTTTGAAATCATTATGTGTTTTTAGAAGTGAGTTACCAACAAATTTTATAAAATATTGTCATTTTGTATTTCATTTTGTGCTTGTAGCAGAACTCAAGTTCTTTTGCAACATACAAAACTATAAGTTTAAGTACACAGAATTAAAACACGTAAAATATTAAGACTATACAAGTCAGTAAATTGGGGTCCACTATTATTGAAAATAATGAGCATATCAACCAATCAGAATATTTTTGTGGACCTCATCATGCTTATGTGTATATTTTTTAATACTTGTGATGATTTAATTTTGAATATGTAAATTTACTCTCTCTAAGATTCTCTTAAAAGGTACAGTAAATGTTTCTAAATTCAAAAGCTTTATAGTGTTGTCATGCAATTAATTTTTTTTAATATTTAATTAATTTTTAATTAAATATCCAGAATTTTCCAGTAGTACACATTGAAGAAACAGAGTTTCACAGCTGGCCTTAGCTGAATGCTTAATTTTCTAGTTAATATGTTTTTAGATTATGACATTTCAAAAAATTTGAAACTTTTGTTCTACATCTGGAAAATTTTATTCAAACTATTACATTTAGTCTTTTAGAAAATTTTAATTCCAAGAAAATATAGAAAAACAATCCAGATTGACATTCAGATTGGAAAGTCAATGACCAAAATCAACTAATTTCAAACATCTAATTATAAACATAAAAATCCATTAAAATTTTTAAAATTTAATTTAGTTTAAACAATATAAAACAAAAACCCAGAAATAAATCCAAGAATCTCAATTAAAAATTAGATTTTTTTTTTAAACTAATGTAGTTTAAAGGATAATTACCAAAACCCAGAAATTAATTGGAACAATCTCAATTAGAAATTAATAAGGAAATTTTAAAAATTAATGTAATTTAAAGAATATATAACAAAAACCCAGAAATTAAATCCAAAAAATCTCAATTTTCCTGCCTATCAAGGATAAATTCAGTTACAAAAAATTGAAAAATACCAAATCTCAACTCGAAAATAAAAATAAAAATAAAAATTCAAGAAGTTAAGAAACTCACATGTCATCCATGAATTTCACAGCAACCATGACACTGGTGATGAGCAATCGATGAACACTGAAAGAATTGATGGGCAACGAGGGCTGCCTCTGCACGAACCGATCAAGATAAACGTATGCTACGATGAAGCACGATGGGCTACAATTGGCATACTTGAAAATTCTCTCTAGGTAGCTCTCAATTGAGATTGTTGGCCTAGTGAGGCCATGGAAGACTGAGATTTTCTGGGGCCGGGATAGACGATTGAGATCATTTGATTCGGCTACCCGGTGGAGGAGAGAAGAGAGGAAGGTGATGAGTTTTGGCATCACACTTGGGCTCTCTAACTCTGCCATTGATGAGCAAAAACAATTGTGTCAATGATGAGGAGGGAAGATATAAACAGAGGGGTGGTCGTTATTAGGTAGGTATTCTTTTGTGAGTTGACGAAAATACCCTTGGGAATTTGAAATATGGCTGGGGGGTCCTCCACTTATGTTGTTTTTGGCACTTTTTGTGTCATAAAGTGAGTGGTTTGAGTTGGGTTTTTTTGATTCTTTGATTCAAAACTTGACTTCTAAAAGAGGGAAAGGTGGGATTTAAGGGGATTCATGTTTGTTTATGAATTAAAGAAAGAAAAATGAAAGGGTTTTGGGGGGTTTTTATAATTCATTTGAATGACAATGAACAGTGATGATTTGCCATACTAATCATGTGATTACATGTGAATTAATGGTGATCCCAACTTGTGGGTCCTACTTGACTTGACACATCTAGCATGTGTTGTGATTCTTCACACAATTAGGTGACATAATAAGAACTTGTTTTGCTCTACCACAGGATTAACAATAATGCATGTAGAAATGTTCAAAAAAATAAAAATAAAAATAAAAAATTATAATAATATGCAACTAAGATTCATTTCATACATACACTTGAAAGGAAAAAAAATTAATTAATAAATAAATAAACACAAATCATAAATTAAGTTTTTACATATAATTTTTGAAGTTTGGTTCATTAACTCTAATTCAGTTGATCACTCGCTCTTATACACTCTCTACTGAGAGGTCATGAAGTCAATTCTTGTTAAAGGCAAAGATTGATTATTTATTCGCTATTCAAGGTTTTGTTCCTTTCTTTTAGTTCTTTTTTGTAATGATTGTTGGTATTTAGCTTGGTTTGTCTTGTTGAATTTGTTTATATAGTTGATTGTTCAGTTTAATGAAATTATTTCATTATCTAATTTAATGTAATTATTTTGATATTTGTAAATATTCTCCTACCAATTGACTAAAAAAAAATTATTTGGCTCGGCCAGATATTGGAATAATTTTATATATCATTTTCCACTTTCACGAGACTAAAACAAGACATGCATAATTTGTAGAAGATTGTGCATATCTAGAGTTTATTATGAAGATGACATGTTGGGCCAATTAGAATTCTCCGTCATGAACAATAAAAAAAAATCCATTGATTTTTTTTTTTTTTTTTTTTTTTTTTTTTTGGGTCTGTGTTTTTTAATAAAACTAAGAGCCAACTCATCTGGTGAGTATAGTTGGGAGTTACTGGGAAAATTTTCACAAACTCAAGGGTATAAATGGAAAATTAAAGAATAGTTTTAAAAAGGAAAAGAAACAAGAGCAATTATTCAGTAATTTTGAAAAATAAACACGTAATATTTCATAGTATTATAATTAATGAAGTACATAAGGTATTATATTGATGATTGAAGAATATAAAAAAATATGTTAAATGATAATTGATTAAAAAATTACAGAAACTTGCTACTCCGAAAACATTAAACAATTTAAGGAGTTGGCTTTGCAGCAAAGATGTCAATGGGGGTGTTTGGTGGGGCTTTTTTGAGCCAACTTATGGCTTCTAGCTTTTGAAAAATTATTTTGGACTGTTTAGTTAAACTTATTTCAAACAGCTTCTGATTCTAACAACTTATTTTAAGTCAAAAAAGCTGATTCTGAGAAACTGCTCACCCCTTGCTTCTAATTATCAGCTTCTGTGAACATGTTAATTTACGGTTATACTCTTAAATTTTTTTATTTTTTATTTTTAAAAAAAATAGAAAAAGACCCAAATGGACTATAAAATATTATTATTATTTTTTATGAGAAATGTAGACAAATAGTGAATAATAAAAAATAAAAATTAATTGAAAAAGCTACTTCACAGCTTATTTAACAAATATTACTCAGCAACTTAAATCTATAATTCAACAGTTATACCAAACAGATTAACAACTTCTGATTAAAGTCATAATCTATAATCTGTTAAGTTATAATCTATAATCTATTTAGCTACACCAAACCGCACCAATCTGTATCAAGCCACCATTCTAACATGCTGGCAAGACCTACAGTTATCCGCACTTTTTGTCTTTTGCTACCATTTTCCTAACCTATATAGTACTCTAAAATAATATTATATATTGCAATAGTGATCACAACACAACACCAAATATACCATTATTTAATTTCAAACATTATAATTATACTTCTTTCTTGGATTGTAACTAAAAATGTTAGAGATCTAAAAATTTTATCAAATATCTCACATATTCATATTGTGTAAGTCCTACACCCATATAAAATATTTAGTAGAATTTTTAAGATTTTTAACATTATTCTTGTTTACCTTTACTTGTGATCTGTTCGGATTATAATTTTCACTAATGACATCACAAGAGTGGGTCTTCAAGTAAAGGATCACCCAAAAAAAGCAATGAATTTTTAATCATCTGATTTTCAAATTTTGTTGGTTAGCTAGTAGTTTAATGTAGTTTTTTTTTTCGTTAAAAAGAAAAGAAAACAAATTTCATTGATTTTTGGTGATGTTTGGCATGGTTGGTTAGCTAAAAGGAGGTTGAGCATAGAGTTGGTTCCTATCATTTCTATAAAATAAGTGTCACAAATTAAAGAATTCGTAATTTTTATGTACTTAAAAAAAATAATTTCAAAGAATTTAAAATGTGGAGATCAAATTAAATTTGGGTGTGCCTACATCACATCAAGTTTAAATCTAACTAAAAATTCAACTTTTTAATACTTTTTTAGATATATAACACCTCTATTAAAAGAGAAAATAAAAGAAATGAAATTCGATAAATCGAACAATAATACTATGTGGTGATCAATTTATGCATTAAATTTGGAACGCGCTAATATAATGGGTCTCACTTTTCATATCTCTTTCGCACGACATTGTTGAGTGTTGATGTATTAAATGGTGTCCAATTTTTATCACCATTTTATGATATAAAAAAATTGTGTCCCTGAATCTTATTGTCCTCTTATCTCGAAATACTCACAATTATTAGATCATTGAAAATCTTAAGGTGCAATAATCTCAAGACATAATTCAATAAATGTAAATATTTTGAAATAGATAAACAAAGAAATTTGAGAATATAAAATCTTATGCCTCCCATTATTGTGAATCGAAATGTGTTGAAGCCCAGGAATATTCTTCAATGAAATATCCAATTTTACAAGTTTTAAAATGAATATCACCTATACACTTTCTTGATTTATGAGTGTGTCTAACCCAAAAAGAGAGAGGTTACAAAAACAGCCTAACAGTGTTATCTTATAAGCTAATAAAAATTAATTAAATGGAAGCAGGAAAAGCAAAAATGCCAAGCTGGAAACATGTATCATTTTAATTTAATTCGTTGGAGTGAAACATGAGCAAAGCATGTCGTGCAAGAGAGCTTCATCAAGCTGTACATTGGGGTAGTACAACCCCCCTACAAAGTCCAAACCCCATGTGTTGTCCATGTGAGTCCCCCTACTTGCTCTATTGTGATCCTCATACTTCTTCCCTACCACCATAATATGAGAAATTACATTGATAGTCTCTACATTTTATTTTTTTTGTCATTTTAATTTTTATTATTTTGATTAATTCAATTTTGACTCTTAATTTTAGATCTTGTGTCAAGTTAGTCTAATTGATAACACCGATTTATGTTTTTGAAAGAAAATAGTCATTGAGTTAGTTGAAAACAAGTTTTCTCCTCCTAGGGTTTCCGAGTGTGAGGCTGCCGGCGGTGGGAGAGGGGTTTCCGGCGGCCTCCGGCCTCCTCCCCCCTCCCCCTACCCGTCTTTTGTTCTTCCATTTCCTTATTTTGCTTTCCCATAACTTGGAAGCTTGGGCTTTCCATCCTCTCCCTCCTTTGTGAGGTGTTTCTCCCACATCCATTCACTCCGGGAGTGGCCTTCTTGGATCCGCACCTTCTCCACTTCCTTCACCGCCTCTTCTCGTCGTCTTCTCCATAGCTCGACCGCCTCTTCTCCGCCGCTTCTTCCTCTTCAACTTCTTCATTCACGCCGGATCCACCTACCCCGCAGCTTTCATCACCTTTCTCCACCTCTCCAGCCGTCTTCACCACCTCTTCTCCGTCGCCTCTTCATCGCCGTTCTTCTCCACCGCCAGATCTACCGAAGCCACTGCCGGATTTGATTGGGTGTGGTCTATTTGTTTTGTTTGTTTTTCTTTTGCTTTCTTTCCTTTGGTTTGTTTGGTTTTTGGGTTTGTGTGGTTCTCTTAAGAGTCTATCTGTGCAATTTGTTAAGCTTACTCCCATTGTGGTTGGGATCTATGAAATATTTCGGACATGCTCTATTGCCGAACTTTTATGATCGGCTCTGCTTCGCAATACGAGCACGAGTATGATATGTACGTCTGAATATTTTCATAGTTTTTCTTCCTGAGTGCTTCTTGATTTATTTTCACTTTGTTTGGTGTAAGTTTTGGGTTGTTTGAACTCTTGTAAGTGTCGTTTGGCTTTCTTAATTGACATATTTCTTCTGATCAAAAAAAAAAAAAAGTTAGTTGAAAACAAGTTTACGATTTCCAAAAAAAAAAAAATGACACATACTGCTTGTGTGCATTTTCTATGAAAAAAAACTTAACTATTGTAATCAATTTAATTAAATTGAGACAAAATTATAAATTTAAGGTCAAAATTGAACTCATTGAAAATTATAAGGACCAAATGACACAAGAGCCAAAATATAGGGATTACCAGTGTAATTTGTCCATATATATCTGTATAAATATATCACACTTTTCATCCTTATCATTTGACCCAAATTTTACTTCGGTCCCCATTACCTCAATTTAAATAATTTAGTCGCTACACTTTAAATTCGATTTCAATTTTGTTCTTCCTGTCCAAATTTTCGTTAATGTTTTCTATTTGTACACCTCAGCAGACTAATATAAGTATTCCAAAATCGTTAATTGTAACCTCCAACTTGAATAGAATAATCAAATTGAAACTAAATTAAAAGTGTAAGTCCAGATTGTTCAATTTGAAATAATAAGAACTAATTTGAAATTTAAGTCAAACTAACAGGGTTAAAAGTGTAATTTACTGACATATTTTTTCAACCTTTTATTTGAATTTTACTTTGATCGCTCATTTTTTAGTTGTAACCATTAAGTCTTCAAACTTTGATTATTTCTTCAATGTGATCCTCTTATCACTTGCACAAAAAAACTCACATGAGAATTATTTAAACACATTTTAGGGGATTAGATGAAAAAAATTATGTGACAGATTATACTTTTCTTCTTGTAACTTTCACTCAAATTTCACTTTGATCCCTAATATTTTAATTTTTACTCAAATTTCAAATTGTTGGATGACTGGAGGATTGCACTGAAGTACAGGTAGAAGTCGAAGAACTTAATTGTTATAATTATAAGATTAAAAGGCAAAATAAAATTTGAGTAGAAGTTACGGGTTAAAATTATAATTTACTCTCTATATATATATATTTGGTAACCAATGAGATTCTAAATCTTGATATCCACTCCACAATAGCTCCCATATTATCACAAGGCCAAGATGCCACTTAAGCTAATTAAAACAAAATTAATCAAAATTGTATTTTTGAAATTGAAAAAAAGAAATACACAACTTTAATTTTTGATTTATACCAATTGGGGATCAGACCGTTTCCTTGATCAGCATTTAATAAAAACCAACTAAGTTAGTTCGATTGGTCACCTCTGTACACTTTTATCTAGAATGTCAGGGAGTCAATCTTTACTAAAGAGTGATGCTAGAGACCCCAAATATTCTACCAAAATTTTTACCAAATGTCTCACATGGGTGTGGGACCCACACAATGTGGGTCCCATGTGGGTCCCACACCCATGTGAGACATTTGGTAAAACTTTTGGTAGAATTTTTGGGGCCTCTAGCATTTTTGTTACTAAATGCAAAGATTGATATTTTTTTAGGGTTTTGTACTGTAATTTATATCTTTCTCATTACGGGGCTATGACATAATTTCGTGAAGTGAATTGTGTAATGTTAGGGATACTAAATTTTCTACCAAACAAATGACCAAATGTCTCACATGGATGTAGGGTCCGCAATTTTGTAAACCCCACACCCATGTGAGACATTTGATTTTTTGTTTAGTAAAAAATTTGGGACCTATAGCATTTTCCTTCATATAATAAAGAAAATAAATTAATATATATCTGCTCTTTTGTTTATATAGGAGATAGAAATGTAAAACAAAATCAACCCACATGATCATTCATCCTCTATTGCCTCCTAGTGGTCCTCTTGTAAGGTCTTAAACATTAGAATATGACCCTTCAATTCCAAAATAAATTGAAGTACTCCTTGGACCACCCCACCTCTCCCTATCAATAAAAAGAGGTACTTTAGGCCTTAAAACAAGGAATGATTAATAAACCTATAATTTGAAGAACCAACCAATGAAATCGTGCAATGTGGCCATTCTTTGCAAATGGGACAAATCACATGTTAGCTTGTGCAACTCATGTTATAAGGTGTGTGGTTACATGTTCTCTCTATAATACAATGTTTATAGTCACCGACGAGTTTTGATTTGTAAAATAGTTTATTAAGATTTTGAAAATCTTTTCAAATTGTATTTAATTTTAGGACAGTTCGGCCACAAAACAAGGCTCACAACATGTCCCAAAGTGTTGGATACCCACAATCTTTGGTCATACAAATGACAAAACATCAGCCTTGGTAGATGAAAGCATAACAATTGATTGGTTTAAATATTGATCACATCAAATTGGTGATAAAAGGCTTTCAAAAATTTGGATTGTGACATAATGTGGTACGAAACCACATGCGATCGTAATTAATTACATTGTATCGTAAATAACATTATGTTGTAACTTAAATTTTTGATGTGAGGCAATGGTTATCAAATTTTTTATTATATGATGTGCAACGTTTCAGAGTTGAATTATTATATATTATAGGCACATAAACATGTGGCGAACAATGACCATTTTTAAAGCAAATTAAGACAAGTAAATTTTTTTTTATATGGAATTTAATACATGTCTGTTATTTTGTCATATCAAAAAGTGAGTTTACGATTCAATATAGTGGAGTTATGATTAATTGAAATTTGATTGATAAACAAGTTTTTTTTTTTTTTTTTTTTTTTTGAAAGAAGACTTACTTGTAAATCTTAATAAGTGAACTTATTATCCAATAGATCTTGTGAGAATTAATGACATTTTTCATCAAACGCTATTAAAAATATCACTAATTATTAATTTTCAACGATAGTTTAAAAATTTTATCACAAAAAATGTCACTAAATATAAATTTTAGTGACAATTTAAAAAAATTGTCACAAAAAAGTCACTAATTTTCAACTTTCAGTGACAGTTTAAAATTTTCGTTACAAAAAAAGTCACTAATCGTAGATTTTAACAACAATTTATAAAAATCGTGATAAAAAAAATATTATTAACAAATTTTAGCGACATGCAAAAAATTATCAAAAAATTATTTTCAATGACGATTTTACTAAAATTTATTTTCAATAAGACTTGATGAAAATTAATTCAACCTATTAAGACTTATTATTAATAGTTTATGCTTTTTTGAAAGCTTGATATACAAGCTTAACAACTCCAATTCATGTAGCTTTTTGTCTGAGCTTAACAAAAGGCTGAACAAAATTTATCGACTAAACCATGCCTAGGGCCAAACAAGACCAGGACAAGACCTGGATCAAGTCGAACTCTCTATATGTACTTAGCCCAAAAAGGCCCCATAGACTAGGGCCAAACAAGGATACGGGCTGAGCACCCCAGATGGGCCAGACCCAATTTGACCTACTTATTGGGGCCAGAAGTACTATGGGCTGAGCCATGATATGAGCTTAGATCGAACGTAGTAGGCGAAGCTTGGGATTGGACCTCATGGACCAAGACTTGGGCCATTTATCAAGATCATATGAGACAGTTCAAAATCCACCACGCACAATGCCGATTTGCATGGAAAAGTCCAAAAACTATTCCTTTCCCCCACCAATTCAAGCCAAGAAAACAACACTCCACACGCGCAAGATAAAGTTACGTACATCTATACTTTTCAAGACCCCACAACAACAAAAATCTTGAGTACTAGAGTACAATTTCCAAGTGCTTCAAAGATTCAAATTGTATTTTATGTGGTTTACCAAGTAACCATACAAAACACTGAATAGGGAGCTTCCTATCACCACCTACATGGTGTTTCACAAAATCAAGATTAAGGCTATATGTATATAACTGTTTCTTGATGTACTCAAAAAGATCGAGAACCAGAAGTTTGATGGTCATGCAAGTTTCTTTATGATTCACAAACTACTCAATAATTAGATCTCATTCAATTGGTGAAGCAAAGGAACTGTCAATATATTGGCAAGCATATTCAAATGAACCTATATTAGTTGAAGTTAGCACCTTCACAACATTACTTCAATTCACTTTTGATACACTGTAGGTGTAAAAAAATTGCTATGCAAGCAGCAAGAAAATCATGCCAGATGAGAATAAAATATTTAAAATCTTGTAAATAACAACCCCTTACTATTTTTCATTCCAGTTAAAACATTTTTCTAGGCATTAAAATTACAATTTTTATATGAAATTTGATGGCCACTGTTTCATAAATTCTGATTGGCTTATATCTGGCCATTACTAGCAGAAGGAACTCAAGAACTACCGAGCATCTTTAACTCACCGAGCCAATCTTAAATCTCACAGAGAAGAGAAACGCTAGGGATGACAAGAGATAACTAACTCTACTGCTCATAGGAATGGGGAAACTCATTCCACATTACTGTTTTATCATAGCTTTATTCAAGAGAGAATTGAGACTGAGGCTGAAATGGCTATATGGCTTCAAAATTCCGTTTGAAACATATGTTTATTGAACTATGAAACAATGCAGAAGCTTTAGCAGGCTGCAACCTCCAATCGGCGCATCCCACAGCCAAAACCAGATTTCTTCAAGACAGACAAGGCCTCAGAGTTCCTGTTCACTTCACTATGCCCTTCTAGAAGAACCTCCCATTACTGAAAATGGGTTTTCTCCCCCACTTCAACCGTGTTGCAAGAGAAATCCTCCACCTTTTTTCTGAAAATCTTTCATCCAATGTATTGAACCATAAGACAATTTTAATTCCCAAGATAACGAGGCTACTAAACTCATAGCTATTCCTAGTAATTCCCAACCCAACTAGATTTTCAGAGGAGAAGGTTCATCCTACAAAGACAATTTCGATATTTAAAGAAATTCTACAATATTTTCATTAAATATTATATTGTTCAAGATTTTCGTCTTCACTGAACAAAATCAGAGCTTTATTTTTTATTTTTTCCCAAAAATCAAAGAGGACCTTACAACACAGGAGATATTTTCGGAATGTAACAGCAGTCCAGTGTATGAATGATCTATCTCTTCCGAACTTCTCTCTTTTTCTATCTTTGTTTCTTTTTCGCTTTTTGGAAACTAAAACCAAATAGGAAATTCACATCAGAAAGTTGACCTATTTGTGCTGATTCCTCCACTTCTGTACAGTAAGAACCATTGGAAGACCAGAATTTTAATGAGGAATTTCAATTTGAGTAACAAAAAACTGGAAAAGAAAAGAATGCAACGCACCAAACGAACAAATAAAACACGTTTGAAATATGAGGACTAGACAGGGATCAAACCCATTGACCTTCAGCACAAGTCAAAAGCTGTTTAGCTAAGGAAAAAGGAGAGAACGTTTCAATTAAAAATGATTAGTAAGCTCGAGATTTACATACAAACAAGGGCAATGCTTCATGATTGAATCTCAGACAAATCTCACTAATAAATCCCATAAATATTATAGTGACACTCTGTATGGGTTGAGGCCCCCAACCTGAAACGAAATTTATCATTTCTATCTGCGAAGCTAAACAAGAGAAGCTTCTATGTATTGGTCCATAAGCCACAAAAGATGACATAACAGATTTACAAAAAAACCCTACAACAGAAGCAAAGTAGAAAGGGGTCACTCACATGTCCAAATGCAATAGTCCTCTCTGGAGGCTCGCTTAGCAATAGGCACATGAATTGAAAGGTAAGACCCTGAAACAAATTCTGAATTTCAGACTCTAGGCTACCTTTAGCAGCACTTGATGAATGCCATGAAAAGGTAATAAACTCTCTTTTGGGAACAGAGGGACCCAAATAAAATGAGAAATCCCCTTCACCTCTCACTCGATAGATAAGATCCTTAACATGTAGAAAGAAGTAAATAAATCATTACAAGCTTCCTTGTAGTTGATTGAGAACCATTTCAGCTCCATCACCATCACTATCCTCATTATCAGTTCTACCTTTCTCCATTGGCAATTCCTCAGCAGTAGTAGCCACCCCATCGGTTAAAGGGATATATGACATATAAACTTCATCTTCAAAACACCCGGCTTCCCTCAAAACCCCCACCAAAACATCCTTGCTTGTCATATCATCTTCCTGTTCACAAAGCTTGAGAATGGAAGACACATTAACCGGCTTTGGTTTCCAGCTCTTTGTTCCATCAGCCAAAACAGCCTCCTTCAGGCAAGACAACACCTCAGAAATCCTCTTCTCACTGGTGTGCCCTTCTGCAAGTATCTCCCACGTTCTCGAATTTGCCTTTCCTCCTGCTTCAACCATTTGATCAAACAAAACCTTAGCTTTCTCCAAAATCCCTTGTCTAACATACCAACCCATGAGAATATTTACTATTCTAGGATCATAAGTTGACTTAACTGACAGCCATTCCTCGTAAAGCTGTTCTGCACCATCAATATCACCCAGCCGAACCAAAGAAGAGATCATAGTATGGTAACCCAAATTTGGAATACTTGGAAAAACTGATTTGTAAGTGTTCCACACGCGATACACCTCCTCCTTGTTACCAACACTACTATATAGACTAACAAGATAATGATACGGAATTCTATCCCGGCCTGTGATTCTGTATTCAACCTTCTTTAGACAGTCTTCAGCTTTTTCCAATTGCCCCAGTTTAATATACATTGTAGCCATTGTGCTGAATGTAGTCCAGTTAGCATTTATGGTTCTCTCCAGCTTCATCTGTTCGAACACCTGTTCCATCTTTTCCACAGATCCTTGAGCCCCACAAGATGATAACCAGATGTTAAAAGAGTATATATCTAAAGGTATATTTTTCTCCCTCATCTCAGAAACCACAGAGTCAACTTTGTCGTACTCTTTAAGATTCATGTAAAGAGTCATCATGACATTGAATGGAAGCGTGTGCATGGCGTAGCCTCTATCTCTCATTTTCTTAAGCAAAGGTTCAGCCTTCTCTCTCATTTTAGCCTGGACATAGGCATTTAGAAGAGCCCCATATGTTCTCTTGTCTTTTAATGTATCTGGAAGCTTCAGGAAGTAATCTTCAGCATTTAAAATTCCATGAACTTTGGCAATTAGATCTAATTGAATCGCTGTGTCACTGGTAGATAGTCTAAATCTCTCTGCTCTGTTGTTCATCCAGTCATAAACCTGAAGAATGTTTAAAAAGTTATAGCTGCAAGGCAAATTATCTCTTAATTTTAACTCCTACTACAAACTGGACAAAGTGACAAACTAGGTACATGAATGTCTATAAACATGCATATATTAAATCGAAGAAACAAAATAATAATAATAATAATAATAATAAAATAAATAAATAATCATAGGGCAGTCATTTGTCAATCAAATCAAGCAATTTTTTTTATGGTATTGAAAGACCATGAACACATACAAGAAATTAAGAAAGAACATTTAAAAAGAGGTTAAACTTAGGTTTCAAAAATTCAAAATCATGAATAATGAGCAAACTTCTGCATGACTGAATTCAACATTTTCAAAATCGCCAAATTTAAGGCCCAACTCCGATCATCCCAGGTTTTTCAATTTTTTCATTATATAGCCAAGTCACTACAATTTCTGCATCCCCAACCAAATTTTGTATAATTATGATTAAGAATATATATAAAAAATAAATCAATTGCCAACTTTACTCTATCTCTAACCAAATTTCTTTACACCCGAATTTCATTCAAATTTCATTATGGTCACATGTCCCAATGCATAGCCAGCCACCTAGTTGCAACTAGTAACTAGTCTTTTAAACCATGTGTTGCACTTATGTATAAAACTGTACCAAACCTAGTAAGTCTCCATTAAATTCATATACAGTATAAATTATGAAAGAAAACAATCAAACTAACAAAATTCATAAAATAACACCAAAAAAATGATGAATCAAAAAACAACCAAAAGCTAGAATAAACCCCAAGTCAGGTTTGGCCTCAACATGAACATGCAATTATCAACTCGAAAAGCCCAAAAAAGAAAAAAGCGCTCAACATATTACCATGAATCCAAATCATCACTAGCACTGCAATTGGATTTTAATCCAACACTAAGATTGAATGAAACACAATTTAAATGTAGCAACTCTATCAAACCAACCAATCAATTCAAACAGATACGCATACACAAAGTAACAAATACCCATGAAACAGGAATCGCTGCAATTGAATTTTAATCCAACCCCAAGATTGAAGAAAAAACAATTAAAATGTAGCAACTCTATCCAACCAACCAATCAATTCAAACAAATACACACACACAAAGCAACAAATACCCATGAAACAGGAAGCACTGCAAATTGGATTTTTGGGAACCGCTAAAAAAGCTTCTTTTTTTTTTTTTTTTTTTTTTTTTTTTTTTAAAAGTAAATAAAAAATCTTAGTACAGGTTAGTTGTATTGCCAAAAATCGTCCATGGTTGAACAAGTTCAAGTGTTCAACAGAGAGAGGAGAGCAAGTTGTGAAAATTGTTTTGTCTTTGTGAAACTAATTGATGTTCCACAGATGGAGGAGTGAGAAAATTATGAGTAGATTATAATTATAATAATTAAAAATATTGATATGAAGTGATTCAAAATATTGATTGTGATTTTTATAAAAAAATACTAGAATGCTGCTTTGAAAATTTTATTCAAAAATAATGAATATTTTATTTAAAAATTCTATATTGAACTCTTGTTTTTTTGTTTGATAAATTCGAGGTCCATGTTGTTTCAGGCCTTAATATTAGATATTGGGCTTCAAAATTCTGGGCATATTACTAGAACTTGTACAAAATTTGGAGCCTACTCACAACATGCGGCCATAGGCACATGCTGCTATTTTAACGAGGACGGTCATGTGATCAAAAATTGAACAATTTTGACTTTAACCAGGATTTGGCATGTGCATAGTTTAAAAAAAATTTAAACATGTTTAGAATTCTAAAATTTGCAACTACTCGTCCAAAGTAAGAGCTACTAAAGTCTTCAAGGGAGACAAAAGTGATAATAGAAAAATGGTAGGAAAGTTTCACCAGTTTGAAGGAAGTGTTTTAACCAGCGGTGCTGGGACTCCAGCACCACGCGGGGCTGTGCGCAAGACTTAAAAATAAATAAATAAATTTGACCAATTAGATCTTATTAGGGTCCTGGGGTCATCTCAATGGGGTCTGATGTATTTTTGTGTTTTAACAGGGGTGTTATTATGCTTCCAATCGGTGCAACATAATTTTAATATTAATATTTTTATAATTAATACACACAATTTTTAGAGTAAATTACACTTTGTACCTTTACATTTTCTCTTAAATTTCACTTTGGCCCCTATATATGAAATCATGACAGTCAACCCTTTACATTTCTGGTCAAATCTCACTTTGGTCCTTGCACATGAAATTGTGACAGTCAACCCCTGCTTATTATATTAATTAGTTCATATAGCATTATTCTATTAGTTATAATATTATTAGAGTGAATTACACTAACGGTCCTATAGTTTGGGGGTTGTGTCACTTTAGTTCTTGACTTTTCAATTGTGACACATTTAACCTTAAATTTTGAATCTTGTTCTAAGTCATTGGCCCCATTTGGTAGAGCTGCGAAAAAGTGATTATAACTTATAACTTAACAGCTTATACCTTATAACTGTGAACATAAACTGATTTTTGACTTATAAATTAAGTTTCTCTTCCCCATTCAAAGAATAAGTTGATTTTTGACTTACAAAAAGTTATAAGCTGTATTGTTAAGCTGAACCAAACACATCAAAATAACTTAAATTAAATTAAAAGCTGCAATAAGTTGGAAATAAGCCCAACCAAACAGGGCCATTGTTTAATTTTAAGGGCAAAATTGTCAATTTGGTAAAATATAAATTAATTTGAAAAATGAATGACAAAAAAATATTTTGAATTTTTAAAAATTATTTCTACCAATTAAAGATAAAATTATGTAAAATTGATAAATCTTTTAAACATTTATTTATTTATTTATTTTTATCAAATTAATTTTTATTATGTGTTTGGATGATGATCATGTAGTGGATGGTTGTTTTTATTTTTATTAAATTAGTTTCTATTTTTTCAAAGGTCAAATATGGTGACAATTTTAATATCATTATTAAACCAATCCATTAAATGAAAAAATCCAAAATTAAAAACATTTCATATATTAAAATATACCGATTACACATTAAAATCCTAACAACTACTCATTACATGATTATCATCCAAACATATAATAAAAATTAATTTGGTAAAACTAAATAAATAAATAAATGTCTAAAAGATTTATTAATTTTACATAATTTTATCTTTGGTGGATAGAAATAATTTTTAAAAATAAAAAAAAATGTCATTTATTTTTATCAAATTAGTTTAAATTTTATCAAATTGACGATTTTGCCATTGAAATTAAGTAATAGTATCTTCAATTGTCCTTATTTGAAACAAGATTCAAAATTCAGAGTCAAATGTGTCACAATTGAAAAGTCGGGAACTAAAGTGACACAAGTCCCAAGTTATAAGGGTTGTTAGTGCAATTCGCCCATATTATTATTGACCAAACTCATTATACAAATTATAAATACTAAAAACCTCCTAAATTATGTTACATCATCAATTAATATATTAATTAATATACTAATTGATACATATAACATTATTTTTTTCTAATTAGACCTTTCAAATTGTTCCTTTTTTCTTTTTTTCTTTTTCTTTTTTTTTTTTTTTTTTTGTTGCAGTAGATTGGGTGTTAATTCATGATTTCTATATGTATGTAAATTATGAAAATAAAAAAATATTTTAAAACTTACAATTTAAGTTTCACAATTTTATCACAATTTATGTATCAATTTTTAATTTGTCACAATTTCAATCATGTAACTTTTAATCTCCTTGCTATAGTTATAAATTTGGGAGAATTCAACCAAACAATTTGAGTCAAGCCTATAAATTTTTAAAGATTTGGAAACATTATTTTTAATTCAGTGAAAACCTATGTAAAATTCAAAATTTGAAAAAAAAAATGGATGGACTTTGCAGAGACACCAAATAACCTGAGCAATTGAAACAAAAGTATAGATGGAAAAAAAAATTGTATATTTGAATATATAAAATTATTTGCTAATTATTTTTTTAATAATAAATAAGATTAATTAAAAATTTAATATTAATGAACAAAAATAAATACACCTTTTAAAAATGGATCATCGAATAAGTTGATATTAAAAAAAATTACATATTATAATGGCATAAATAATTTAAATATGACTTTTCAAAAATTGTTTTTAATTTAAAAATTACAATAGAATATTTAAGTATACTAAAATTAAATTTCTTACAAAATAAAAGTATCTGGATAAAATAAAAAAATAAAAGAAAAAAAAAAGGTAAGAAGAAAATTTAAAACGGTACTCTCATTTGATCTGAAAATAATTCTAAATGATCAATAAATTATCACATATAATCCTCACTTTTTTTAAATAAGAAAATATATTTTACGAACCATCATTTTTAATAGAAAAATAACATTTATATCTATTTATTTTAGTAAAAGACACTGTTTAGCAATTTGAGTCAAAAAAAATTTATTTTTTATTTTGGTTTATTTAATTGACAATTGAGATTAAGAAAAAATGTTAACATGATCCACCATATTTCATAAGTGCTAAAAAAAGTTTAGATGAACAATAAGAAAAATGTTTGAGGCTTAAAAAAAAAGCTTCCACACTCACAATAATGTGGTATCATATGTGTCACCTCTTGATTTGCTGTACACTCAATAATATGGGCCCAACTCTTTTGCCACTTCATTGTGGTTAAAAGTGTGAGTCTGCAGCATTGTTAGAACAATAAATTATCATGTGTAATTCCAATTTTTTTTATTATATAAAAAAATAGGGAGACTTATTTATAAGTCTTTTTTCGGACACTTATGCTAGACTAAGTCCTGTGTAATTTTTTATAGACTCTCAAGTCCTATTTAGATAGGAATGTATTCCACAAGATCCTATGAGTTGACCATATATAAGAAATTGAATATTATCATAGAAAGTAACATTTTCACATTCAATTAAAAAAAACGAAAACCTAGTAAGTTTGCGAAACGTAACATGACACGTTACGTTACGTTTATGTAGGTGTCACGTTACGTTACGTTACGTTATGTAGGTATCACATCACGTTACATTTATGTAGGTGTCACGTTACATTTCGCAAACTTAATCTATGGTAACATTTAATTTGCTATATAAGAAATTGAATGTTACCATAAAAAGTAATATTTTCACATTCAATTAAAAAAATGAAAAACCTAGTAAGTTTGCGAAATGTGCTAACATTCAATTTGCTATATAGGAAATTGGATATAACCATAGAAAATAACATTTTCACATTCAATTAAAAAAATCAAAAACTGAGCAAGTTTGCGAAACGTAACGTGACACATCATGTTACGTTTATGTAAATGTCATATCACGTTATGTTTATGTAGGTGTCACGTCACGTTACGTTTATATAGGTGTCAAATGTGTCAACAAACTTCACACAGGACTTATGGGAATAAAAGTTTTTTTTTTAAGACCATAAATAGCAAAAGTCTTCCTAATAGGACTTATAAATAATTTTTCCAAAAAAATAAGTTTCACCAACTATCACTTTTAATAGAAAAAAATATATATTTATTTCTATTTGATTTTAGTAAAAGTCGCTTCTTAACTATTTAAGCCAAAATTTTGTTTTCAAATTTGTTTAATTGACAATTGAGATTAAAAAAAAAAACAAATTAATAGAAACCATTTTGTTTGACAATTGTTAAAAAAGTCATTCACTTTCTTAATGGTTGTCGTTTGTTAAAAAAAAGATTTGTATTAAAAAAAATTTATTGTTTAAGTCCTCATAGTTTAGAAGAATATAAAAATATATATATATAATTTAAAACAAAAAATAAAAATATAAACTTTTAATAGCGATTAATAATTTGAATACGTATATTTAATAACATATTATGGTTAGATCAATAATATTATGATACATCATTATGACACATGTGAATATTGATCACATTCTAATTGTAATAACATAATTTAAAAAAGAATTTAAATTTTAAATTTTATTTTATAATTTAATAAAAGATGCATAAATTAATAAATGAATATTGATCTTATTCTAGTAACATAATTTAAGGAATAATCTAAATTTAAAATTTTATTTCAAGAATATAAAATTAATTTATAAACCAATCATATTGTGACACATATTAACAAAAAATTTTAAAAAAATCAAAAAAAATAAAATAAAA